CCGGAGCGGGCGGGAGTCGGAGCCGGCGCCTGCAGGTTGGTTCCGCAGTCCCTAACGCGGGAATTCCACAGGCCGCGACCAGGCAGCAGGGTTATGTCTGCCTTAACGTAAAGTGATCCCGCTAAAATATGTCTTGTTTTCTGCAGGTGTGCGTTTAGAGCTTCTGGACAGGGATTCAGCAGCTCTGTCCATAGGGAATTGCTCCTGGTTAGCAGAGTCGGGCTGCTTCTGGAAATGCAGTCCCGGGTTAGGCTGCCACTGGAAATCAGCTACTAAAGATGCTCCTGGTTAATCAGCTTTCCATGTCTGCTAGCTCTGAACAGATCGAGCCCGTCTCTCTAGAAGTCCTTCGGGGAGGCTAAGACTGTTTGACGAGAAGCCGTGATGTAAGGAACCAGCACTGGCTTCACAGACATCAGAAACTCAACAGTATCTGAATGTGTTCTGTTGCAGTAATTACTGCTTCTGGTGTCAGAATGCAGATGAGGTCATCCGGCTTCTCTTTCTCTCCTAGAGACAGGATGGCCTCTAGAAGTGACTGCCAACCCCAGGCGATCACCAAACCAGCACTTGGTGAAGAAGCAGCGGCTGAATTGGTTGACAGGGTGTTTGGACTGAAGGTGTCTTGGATCAGGCCGCTCCCCAGCTACGACGACCAGAATTTCCACGTGTGTGTTTCAAGGAACAAAGGTGCGGGTGAAGGTGCTGATGAGTACGTCCTCAAAATCACCAATTCGGAAGACAGCCAGGAGCCTGACCTCATTGAAGCACAGACCCAGGCCATGATGTTTCTCAGGGCTGAAGGCTTTCCCTCAGCTACTCCTTATCTTACAAAAGATGGTAACGTAATGTCTCTGGAGTCGGGAGGTGAGCAATTACAAGCACCTTTACTGCCCTACTATCACCCTTAGCTTGGCGGTAGCTGGTTATATGGCATGCCATATACGTACTGAATTAACACGCTGGCCTTATTTTTAAACATCTGGGGATATCCTAGAATCATAGAATGATTTGGGTTTGAAGGGACCTTAAAGATCATCTAGTGTATCAGGTGACCTGTATGTCCAGCTATAATAGTCCAAACCTAAAATTCTAGAAGCGAAGCTAGTTGAAGAGAGTAATAGTTAACGATGGAGGTACTGAGAAAACAATTTTAATGTAATGAATTTGAGAAAACATTGATCTGACCTGTCCGAGCGCAAGAAAAGGGGAAAAAGCGTCAATGACTGAGTGGTCTTACAAATTATTTGCCTACAGAACGGTGTAAAATGCCCACCTATGGTACCTTTAGCAGAACTTGGAAGAAAGGTCGTGTTGACATTTTGCATTTATTTTCACTGTAACTTCCCCACCAAAGCTGGGGCTCCTGGGAGCTGCTGTGCTGCAATGCCGCCCAAGCAGGGTCTGCGGGAGCTGGAGGAAATGCGCCGTACGCAGTCAGCTCCCAGCACGAGCGCTCCCAGTCCAGCACAGGTTGCTGGTGTGTTAGGGTTTGCACATCACCGCATCGCGGTGAATCACGTCTTGGAATGAAACCTGGTCTATCAGCCTCACCCGGTGACTTCTACACGGGAATAAACCATTTTTGCCTCTTGCATTAACTCACTCCTAATAGCACGTGCTGAAGCGACTAACTGCATCTCTCTCTGCTTGTCAGATGCGGGGCCTGGGAACAAAAAGTACATGGTCAGACTGCTGACGTACCTGCCTGGCACACCGGTAGCAAAAATTGCTACAGACCCTCCGATTCTCTACGAGATCGGGAAGCTAGCTGCCAGTTTGGATAAAGCTCTCACAGAGGTGAGTTTTCGCTCCTATGGACTCACAGACTTCTTTCTGAATGAATTTCTCCTTTGTATTTCTTCTCCTGCTTCCTGTCTGCTTTCCTGATCTGCACAATCCAAGTTGGTGATTGCAGATGTCAGTTTTTCAGGTGCCAACCTCCAGGCTGGCTGTTGCTAGAGCATCTCCCCAGGCAGCATGACCAATTAGTGCTTGTGACATGGTATCGGCGACCCTTTTGCAATGCGTTTTTGTATCGCCAGCAGGGACATAAGGATTTTTTTTTACTTAGGCAGAACTCGCCCATTTGGTGTTTCAAACCTGGCAATAAGGAGAGTCGACCCTAGGATGCTCAAATGAGAAGCATGTAAAGCTTGTTTTAAAGCGTTTTTGTATCGTGCACAGCTGGCTGATCTCTTATTTTGAATTCATTTTGACTTGCTGTCTTTCTGCTGGTCATTGGAACGGTGACCATTTGACACTGGTGGCAGCTGGTTCCTTGTCTGCAATGCCAGCTGTGCCAATGAACAGGGATTTGTGACACTTCCCTCATCTGCACTGCTTCCAGTCAAATCATCCTAATGCAAAGTAAGTTCTTTCTTTACTCTGTAATTATACAGGATAATAAAGCTGATAGATCAGCCAGTAATTAAGTCTGATACATAAAAGAACTCTTGCATTATTTATTGTGTTTCATTAACCTTTTCTTCTCATGTTCTGGCTGCCAGCTTCAGATAATTAATGCCATGTGAATTGTCAGCCTTACTAACCACATTCTTAAATTACAAGAGCATTTTTCAGTTGAGAAAGATAACTTACTGCTGCCTTCCAGCACTCTGGTCACGCTCCTATAATGCGGTTAGAACAATTTATATAGGCCAGCTAGGCTCAAAATATGCCTGTCTCTTGTCCTGCCAAGGAGGAAATAGTTGATGAGAAAGCATTTTTTGATGGAAAGGCTCTTTATGCCCCTAACATGTGGAGTATCGTCTACCAAGGTATATCATTTAAATAAAATTATTATAATTACTGTCAAAACTTCAAAATATCACTGACACTAAAAATAATACCTAAAGTATAAAGTTTTCTGATGTCAGATCAGAAAATACAGCCTATCCTTTCTGCCCAGTTAATTTAGTTTGTCACTTGATAGCAAAGCAGTGTGCCGTGCTTTGTTTTGTGCACAAAATAGTATTCCACCACTTTCTCTGTCGGTGTCTTCTTTTGCTCAGATGTGCCTCACGTCCTCTGAATGGAAATAAGGTTATGGCTGTAGAGTGACCGTTTAGGGCTTGACAGTGCCAAGGGCTCATGACTTTTACTACCCTTCACACACCTGGTAAGCCATGGATAGCGGATGTGATTTGCGCTGGGAAGATGGCCGTGGTTGCTTACCAGCTTTATACAGCAGCTGGGATTCTGCACTGTGATGTTTGGTTTAGACTTGAGCTTGTTCCTTACTTTTTCATGCAGAGTTCCAGTTTTGCCTATCACTTAGTTGTCTCTAAGAGCCTTAATTACAAGCACAGGTTTCTTTTCAAGAGGAAGCCAGCTACTTTTGTGGGAAGTTGTTTTTTATTTGCCCTATGCTCTGGTAGAATCTGGCCCACAAGCCACCTCAGTAAGCATTAGAGGATTCAAGGATAAGTGTGGTTTGCAGTGGGAGAGATGATTTCCCTCCCTGAATGTCACTTTCCGGACCATCTTTTGCATTTGTCAGTGAGAGAGAGGTAAAGGACCCTGTTTGTTTAAAGTAAGTTAGGCCAGCTGGACACAGAAAGGCACATTTCCATAAGAATACAACTGTCCACTCTCTCCATAAAGTGGTTCTGTCCTCAGGATTTTTCATGTACCAGCTGATCCTCGGGCTTGTCCCCAGAAGCTGCCACCCTTAAGTGCAGTGTGCCTGTTCCTGGCACACTGGCATGTACTGTGTCTCTTCTGCTCCCACAGCTTTCTGCAGTGCCAGCCTGCAATCCAGGCTCTGCCAGTGCAGGACTCCGCTTTGGCAAGGCCTCCAAGTTGCTGCATAATGGCATGTTACAGGGAGTCTGTATCAATTTTAAATTATTCAAGTGATGAATGACTTAGTTAATCCCTAAAAAATGGGGAGAACCCCATTGGTGTTGTCTGTAGATATTACCTTGTCTCAATCACTCATCAGGTTATTCATTTTCTTGTTGACACAAAGTAGTAGTCATGGTGATGGTGCTTTTCAGTGAGGCTCATTAACCTGTTGGAGTTAATAGGAGCTTTGAATCAAGCCCTGTAATCATCAACCCAGGATTTTTACTTACGGACTCTTTCATCTTGTGCTTTTTCCAAAGAAATTCCATCATCCATCAGTAAAAAGTCTCCATCGAGGCCAGTTCATTTGGAACCTGGCAAATGTTCCTCTTCTAAATCAGTACGTTTATGCCTTGGGCCAGAACAAATATCGTGAAGTTGTGGAACAAGTTATTGAGCAGTTCAAAGGGAAAGTAATACCCAAGCTAAGCAGTTTTCGAGCCTGTGAGTATTTTATTCTCATCATGTTGAACCGAGACACTGAAATTTCTAACAGGAATTTGGGTCTCTAGATAAGGCAAAAAAAGTCTCCTTTATCCCTAACTAGACATGTGCAAATGTTGATCTGAATAAACACGGCGCAGCGGAAGCTGGGAGGAATGTGCTGTCCAGAGCCAGGTTCAGTTCTTGATCGGGATGAACACTAATGGCTTCCAGTTAAGGTTATGGTTTCCATGCTTTATAAGAATATTTGGAGTACACTACTTCCTTTTATAAAAGCCCAAATAACTATTTAATCTCATTTTTGGAATTCAGCTCACATTGATGATGTTAATTTGACAATTTGAAGAAAACTGCTGTTCTGTGTTTGGAAACCATGTGGTGTATCACAGGTAGTACCAGACCAGAGTAAGATCTCGTAACTCTCCGTTGATCTGTTGCTGCCTGGTCGCCTGTTGGTGGAATGGAGGTTCCTGGAAGGCTGTGATGAGGGAGACTGGTGTGGTTTGTAGCTGGGTGTTAGTTTGAGCCTCTGCACGTCTTCTTAAAGTTGTTTCACTGAGAAATGGAAAAAAAAAGATTCTGCTGTTTAATAATGATTAAATACTGTTTCTTCTGTGTTTAGGTATCAATCATGGAGATCTTAATGACCACAATATTCTAGTAGACTCCAGTTCTGCTTCCTTGGAGAACCCTCAGTACAGAGTGTCTGGCATCCTGGATTTCAGCGACATGAGTTTCGGGTATTATGTGTTTGAGGTTGCAATAGCCATCATGTACATGATGATTGAGAGCCCGGATCCGCTGGGTGTTGGAGGGCACGTTCTGGCAGGCTTTGAAAGCGTCGTGCCGCTCACGGAAGAGGAGAGAGGTGCTCTCTTTCTCTTGGTGAGCGGGAGGTTTTCTCAGTCCCTGGTCATAGCAGCCCACACCTCCCTGCTGTACCCGGAGAATAAGGAATACCTCATGATCACGGCCAGAACCGGATGGAAGCACCTCATGAAAATGTTCGAGGTGGGCCAGGAAGCTGTGGAGCAGACATGGTTTGAGACTGCC